CGGGTGGAGGAGACAGGCTCGCAGTGCCTATGGGTCCCTGGGTGTGCAGTGAGCACTCTGGATACTTGGAGCTTTGCCCAGGGTTGCTCAGTGCATGTTGGTAGTATAGTTAGATGTGGGGCTTTGAGGCAGGAGGGGACAGATTACAGGCTTGCTTTGCAGTGTCCAGCCATCTCTTCTGGGTTGTTCCTTTGAAGTCCCCATCCCATGCCTTCATGTTCTTCATTTCTTCCAGTCTCTTTAGGGTTCTTCGATGACATTCTCATCCCCCCTGAGTCACTGCAACAGCCTGCCAAGTTGTATCCTTTCAAGGTTAATGTGCCACCATCACCTTTCTGGGGCTGTTTTAATGGGACTGTCACTGGTCATGGTCTTGGGAGAGAGGCTCAGATGGCCTGTCACAATTGAACTTAATCATAGCTCCCAGCAGTAGCATGACATGGAGAATGCAGTGTGCCACTAGAGGGCAGTATGGCTATGTAGGCTATGGGGGAAGAGCAGAGCTCAGCCTCTGCTTGTGCCCAGGCCTGTGTGGGCAGAGGTAGGGTTTAAATGAGACTCTGACTTGTCAGCAAATCTGGCCTTGCCTTATGTTCCTCAGGCAGGTGACATTCAAACCTACCTCATCTTCTGGAGACCAGGGCAAGCCCATGATCTACCCGTCTGTCACATTAGTTATGAGGCTTGAATGAGAAGTGTGGGGTCCCTGGTCATTCAAATTTCCAGACTTGGGAATGTCATTCTCACTTTGGGTCCTGGCAAAAACTAGCTCCTCTCCAAGGAACAGGAGCAGCTTTTACTGGGACTTCCCAGCCAAAATAGGCTCAAACTGAGTTGGTTTTAACTTGGGTTAGTACTTAAGAGGACCCTCAGCCTCATGAACTCCCTAAGCATGATTATGGCCTTGACCCTGGTCTCCAGTGATGAGACAGAACAAGTCTGGGTGTGGGAGTATGAGACGGAGGAGGGAGCTCATGACCTGTACATGGACACTGGTGAGGAGATCCGCTTCAGGGTGGTGGATGAGAGCTTTGTGGACACGTCCCCCACAGGACCCAGCTCAGCCGAGGCTGCCTCTTCCAGCGAGGAGCTGCCAAAGAAGGAAGCGCCATACACGCTTGTGGTAAGGTGTTTGGGAGGCTGCTTTCTTTTTCGGTTTTTCAAGAAAGGGTTTCTCTCTGTAGCCCTGACTGTCCTGGAACTCAGTGTGTAGAAGAGGCTGGCTTCTGCTGGGATTAGAGGTGTGCAATCCCTCCCCCCGCAACAAGGGCTGCTTTCTCGAGGTTCCACTTCTAGAACCTCCTCCTTAGCAGGTCAGGTCTCTTGGGATTGTTACCTGTTACTTCTTAGCCAGCTTTTGTGGATTCGGGCTATGAGGTAAAAACATTGTTGTAGATTTTGAGCAGGCTGGGTGGGAGTTTGTCCTGTGCCTCCCAGCTCAGACTGGATTAAATCATAAGGATCTTTTAAAGGAAGAAAGTGGAAGAGGGGCTAGAGAAATCAAGTTGACACTAGAGCAGGGTTCCAGGGCTGGGGTTGAGGAAGGATTTGTTTTTTTGTTTTTTGTTTTTCGAGACAGGGTTTCCCTGCGGCTTTGGAGGCTGTCTTGTAGACCAGGCTGGTCTCAAACTCACAGAGATCCACCTGCCTCTGCCTCCCAAGTGCTGGGATTAAAGGCGTGCGCCACCACTGCCCAGCTGGTTGATTACCTGATTCTACTTGAGGCCTTTTCCTAAGAAGGTGTTCTGAGTCCTAACTGGGCCTGCCAGGTGCTATCGCTAGGCCCTCTATCCCAGGCCCCAGCTGAGTGGTGACAAGTATACCTGTTTTTCTTTGACAGGGATCAATCAGTGAGCCAGGCTTGGGCCTTCTATCTTGGTGGACCAGCAACTAGTCCTGAATTTAACAGTGACTCTGCCCAGACCCTCTACAGTGGAGCAGTTTGCAAATTCTGAGGAGTGCTGCCCAGAACCAGCTGGGTGGGACCAGGAGTGCCACTTGCTTGTCTTCTCCCTTCCTAGCTCTGGTTCTCTGCCTTCTGGAGTCACCCCGAAGACGTCCACACTGGATTGCTTTTGGTTTTTTGAGTCTCCTGTCTGGGCTGGCGTCTCACTTGCTGTAGCATAGAATAACATTGAGTTTACGTGGTAGTTAGGATGGGGTGGAGCCAGGGCTTTGTGCACACCAGGCAAGCACTCTCCCAACATCTCCAGCACAAGGACTGTTTTTTTCTTCAGTGCTGAGAATGGAACCCAGGGCCTCTTTCATGCTTGGCAGGTATTGTACTACTGAGCTAGGCCTATCCTATGCCTTCCTGTGAACTTCTGGTTTTCTTAGTGACTGAAGAAACATTTAATATATAATGAAAGCAGCAGGAAACACCCCTCCCCTTTTGAATAGCTGACATTATGATCTGAGGTCACTGAGTTGCCATCCTAGGACAGCATTCCCAAACCCCACAGATGTGTAGGCATTTATGAGACCAGACTGACTCTAGTTGAACTTGGTTCTGAAGGGACCAGCTCCCCATTTCGGTAGCCATAACAGCTGAACACGTACTTGTCTGACCTTGCCTTGGTCACTAGAAGGTCAGATGCCTGCCTCGTGGCAAGGAACCAATCAGAAGTTAGCTGGTGGTGCTCTGGGTGTGCTTTACGGACAAGTGCACAGCGATTGACGTGCAGAGCATAGCAACCACCCGGGGAGGGCCTATGGGCCATAACAACCAGTTGACCAATCAATACAGGGCAAACCCTCCAAGCCTGGAGGCACACCAATCCTGAGCCTGTGCGGACCCCTAGACACTCCCCTTACGCTACCCTCTAAGATCTATAGCCGTCCGCCATGGTGAGTGGATGAAAGACCCGAGCTAACATGTGGTTAGCTTGTTAAACAACTACAATAAAAACCTCGTGCAGTTTGCATCAAGCTTTTGACTCCGCATGGTGATTGGGTGGCTGTGGTCCTGGGCTGAGATCCTGGGGGCATGAGTCTCCGGGGGTCTTTCAGTTCTTTAGCAAAGATAGAGGGAGGCCACTTGAGCAGGTGTTTTAGGCCTGTGCTGTTAGTTGCGGATGCAGTTGGAACACCAAGCTGCAGCCATCTTAGCCCCAGCATTTGGAAGGAGTAGCCCCCCCCCACCCGCCATGAGCCATATCAGCCCCTTGTCTAGGAAATGGAGGCTATGGGATTTGCTGTCCTAAAGTCTATCTTCTAAGAAGCCTGGGGTTGCCACTGCCTCAGCTATGACCACAGATACCATGTGGCATTAGTGATGCCCCAGGTCTCCGCCCTTTCTCTCACCGACACTAAGATATTTCTGGTAAGTACTGTTTTGTGACAAACCTCCATGGCCTGCCAGGGTCTTTCCATGTGGAGGTACCAGGTAGTGTCATCTGATGCTGCCCAATGAAGAGGGACCTATTTTGCCACAACTCCTGCTGCAGCGGCTATGGACAGCATATATTGGGTGTGGCTTGGAAGGCAAATTCTTTTTCAGGTTGCTGTATCTTACTCTGTAGTCCAGGTTGGACTTGAACTCAGATCCACCTGCCTCTGCCTCCCTCCCAAGTACCTCAGTACTTCACAATAGGTGCCGCACCTATTCTCAGGGTAGTTAAAGGCCAGGCCTAGTGCATCAGTCTCAAGGGAACAGAGGAGGCAGCTCTTGGTCCCCGAAGCTCTAGCCTACTGCAGGAACATGGCCAGGCAGGAGTGGGTGGAATAGTGTTTTTTGTTAGTGTTCCCATCTTTGCTGCAGTGGCCAAGGTCCAGATGTGACCCAGGCCTGATGAGGCCTCTGCTGACCTTGGCGTAAAAGATCCTCCCTGAATGCAAGCAGATAATAGCAGACACAACTCTCAAACAGAAAATAGTCAATGGATTTGGCTTTTTTTTTTCTTATGAGAACAAAAGGTTCTCTAAAATCCTTCAGCCACCAGTGAAATGATCAGGCAGGATGAAAACTTTTTTTTAGAGGGAGTGCTGTCATTAAAAATAAATACAGGTGCATGGACTTTTGAAGGAAGAACCAAGCTGAAAGGCAGGGGCTGGGACATAATCTCAAGTGCCCTCCACGGTGGATCACTCAGTGGGCTGAGGATGGAGAGAGCAGGAAGCAGGTCTGGTCGTCATCTCAGAGCAGGAGGCCATGCTGGATAGACCAGCTCTGGCTCTGAGGATGCACATGGACCTGTACTTCTGACATCCAGCAGGGTCCAGAGTGGGACATGACAGCCAGCCAGCCGGGACCTTCCTTATTGCTGCAGCTCCTTCATCCTGTTTAGGGCACTGCCTGCACGGAACCATTCGATCTGGGTCTCATTGAAGGTGTGGTTCAAGAGGATGGTTTCCTGGGTCCCATTAGGGTGCTTGATGATGCATTTCAGAGGCTACAAAGGAAACATGGGTGTGGGTGGGAGGTGGAGGATGCTCTGAAGGCCCAAGGCATTGCACCATACAAGCTATTGGGCACTGAGTGCCAGGCCAGGCCTGGGTTAGGTTTCCCTCAGCTGGGAAGGACTTGGTTCTTTCAGCTGGGCCATGGACTCACAAGAGCTGTAAGTACAGCTTGTGTATAGGACAGGAAGCAAGTGACTGCCCAACCCCACCCACCCAAGAGAGCCCTGGTCTGTGCCCTCCTTCCTAGCCCCCTAACCTTGCCAGGGGCAAAGTCCTTCAGGCCTTGAATAGTCAGTTTGTCCACTGGATGGATCTTGTTGTAGTCAGAGGGGTCAGCAAAGGTGAGGGGCAGCAAGCCCTGTTTCTTTAGATTCGTTTCTGGAAGACACACATGAAGTCAAAAGTGTGGTTCTTACTAGCCCAGGAGAGTATCCTCTGAAACAGTTGGGAGATAGATCCCCCCTGCCCAGTTCTCCCGAGGATAAGCAGACAGTGACTATAGTGCCCAAAGTGTGCTGGGTCCCACTGCCTCCATTTCCCAGGAGCACTCCAAACAGGTTTGCCTTAGTGCAGATGTACACATGCAGTGAATTTCAACTGACAAGCTTAGAGCCAGTGTTGTTGAGAGGCTATGGGCAGTGTCAACTTGGCATTGGGTAGGTGGGGACAGGCTCTGTGGAATATAGGGCCATGGACTCTCGCCCAAGTTGGTCACTGACGGAGTAGATAACCTAGGACCTTGAGTGAAGAGCAGCACTTAGCTCACCATGGATCCTGGCAAAGCTCTTGGTGATGATGGCCCGGCCCCCAAGGTGGCGAGGCTCCAGTGCTGCATGTTCCCGGCTTGAGCCTTCACCATAGTTCTCGTCTCCAATCACCACCCACCTGATGCCATGTTTCTGTTAGGTAATAGGGACAAAGTGAGGTTTGTGAGTCAATGTGGGGGGAGGCAATTCGTTTTCTGTTGCCCATGAGCAGCTGAATTTGGGATGAACTGGGCCAGATAGGCCGGCCCTAAGGGAGCAGGCAGGTTGTCTCTGCCTGCTCATTTGCAGTGGACAAGAAAGCAGCTAGGCTTCATGGAGCAGTGCAGAGCAGTTTGGGAGAAAAACCAAGGCTGTATAGAGGGAGCAAGAGACTGGGGGTGAGGTGGGGGGGTTGTTTACATGACTGGAGAGATTGCTCAGTGGTTAACTCCAAAATCTGACACCCTCATGCAGGCATTGCCCGTAAGGTATAAGAAAGAAAAAAGAAAAAAAAGAAAAAGAAAAAGAAAAAAGACTCACTGGGGCTTCTGTGGCACTGAGGGCCACTTAGTTGTTTGGTCTATGGTATGGGCCTAAGGAGACTACAGTTCCTTAACCATGTGCACTGTTCCAGTCAGCCACAATGAGGTGCCAGATGACCCTCACCAGTCCTGGAACCTTTCAAGAAGTGGATCAGGACTGGAGATATGGTTCCACAGTAAAGAGCACTTCTGACTCTTCCAGGAACCAGTCTTAGTTCCCACATGGTAGCTCACAACCACAAGCAACTCCAATTCTAAAGGAGGATATGACATCCTCTTCTAGCCTCTGTGGGTACCAGACATGCACATGGTGCACAAACCCATGCATGCAAAACCCATACACGAAATAAAAGATCATTTGGGGCAGTGCTGGCCCACACCTTTAATCCCAGCACGCATGAGGCAGAAGCAGGCCAATTTCTCAGTTTGAGGCTAGCCTTGTCCACAAAGCTAGTTCCAGAACAGTCAAGGCTGCACAGAGAAACAAAACCAGGTGAGACCATGGCTCAGACCTGGGCTTAGTCTCCTCACTGCTTGGTCTGTATGAGACCCGTGGCTCTTCTGAGCTTCACTTTCCAGCTCGATTCCTAAAGCAGTAATTTTATAAGGTTTCCTTCAACCTTCTTGGGTCTGGGGCCACACACCTGCTGTGGCATATCTCTGACTCCAGGGCAGAGTCTCCTGGGTGCCAGGATAGCCATTTTCTCTAGGCATGCCACCTTTCAAGCCCTCAGGAATGCAGCTGCTGACACAGTTATGCCCAGCAGTGCTGGCCTACCTTGTAGTATCGAGCAGTGTCAGGCACAGGGCCAAACTCCTGGGTGACAGCATTACGCACGGAGTTGGCCTTGCCGTTTTCAATGTTGATGGCACCAATGAGCAGGTTATTAGAGATGTTGTCCAGATGTCCACGGAACTTGAGCCAGGGGCCAGCAGCAGAAATGTGGTCGGTGGTGCACTTCCCTTTGACCTAGGATGGGTGAACAGAGAGGACAGGCCATATTAGGCCAGGGAGGAAGGAAGGAAGGGAGAAGCTTAGGGACAGGCAGCAGTGACCAGCACAAGGAGGGGAAATGACAGTTATATCTGGCCTTGGACCTGTAGTCTATGGAGTGAGTCCTGGTGTTCCCCATACCCATCTGTTTAACCCCTCAAAAGCCCCAGCTATGCTGTCTCCATGACAAGATACTCTCTTACAGGACTCGCTAGACATGGAGGACAGATGCCGCTGTGTGCTTATTTAGCTAAACTACCAAGAGTGGAAGATCAGTGACTCCATGCTAGACATAGAAGCTAGGAGTCATGTCTGGTTCCTGGCTCACATGAGCTAAATACCGACTGTGTCACAGGCGTGCCTGGACACCCCTTAGTAAGCCCATAAATTATTGTCTGACATGAGTCTGAGGCCCTTGACCACACTAGAAAGGCTGCGATCCCAACAGTCTATCCAGTAATGACCCATAAGAATGCTGTGGGAGTCTTGCCAATCCAGACCTGAGTGGACTCACGTGAATGCATTCACCACACCAGAGGGCTGAGGCCAGAGCCATGGAGAAGGGGGAACTACAGGCTGTTGTGATGGATTCCTCCTTTAAGCCTCCCTTCTTATTCCCAGGGGGTTCCCAGCCATGCCTGATGCTTGTGCCAACCTTGATGAGGATTTGCAGGTCCTCCAGGTCTTTGCCGTCCCACTTGTCAAAAGGCTCCAAGAGCTGCAGGCGCTGGCTGGTAGGGCTCACGTCTACCCGCTGCCCACTGCTGTCCTTGGGGGGTTGCTGGTAGGTGTCCTGCCCTGGGTCAAAGTCCTACAGAAGGGATGAAGACACATTGGGCACTGAGTCCTTAATCCCCACATGACATCTCACAAACCTCACTGTTCTCAGTGTCACCACACCTCATGTGAGCCCAGGCAGCTAGGTCAGGGCTAACCATACAAAATGGTGGC